TTAAACTTCTGGCCACAACTTTTTCTGACTTCAGTCGGGGAGCCGTCAAATAAAGTTTAAAACGCGTTGCAGCTCAGCTTCTTATCAATTTGAACAAGTCTTTATAATTGAAACGCGAGTCTAAATGACACGTTTCAGTGAAATTTTACCCTTAGAAATATTTAACCTGGTGTTATATCCATTGGCAGAAATATTGGACAAGATGGCGGCCGCGCTAGCGCATTTCGTCCATAATGGAGTCCAAATAATATAAGAAACTGTATGGAAATTTATAAAATTTCTAAAATATAACAATCAGGAGCTCATGGTCCCGTCTACTCTCGATCGAGACATATTCAATACTGATTCTGCTATTCATCAAACCTCACAGGGACTCGATAAATAAAAACCACCTACTTCCTCAGCCAGTTCTTTTGTCATTGATCATTGACCTAGGTCGCCAGACAGTTCTTCAAAATCCGTCGTTCTCCATCCCAAACACTCGCCTATTACAGGAAAGTGCAGCAATAAAGTCAACTGCTCTCGATAGAATTGACTGCTACAGAGTTCGAAACGTCCAAATGTCCTGTAAAATTGCCATTTCCTCCCATCAAAAAACTTCCCAACGCGCCAGAATATCCCTTATTTTCCATGTTGAGTAAGTGACGAGACGCCATGTTGAAAACTATGACTGAAATAGTTAAACACGAGCAACACTGATCTTCGAATCGTCGGCCATATTTGTTTATGTTCTTGCAGGGAAATAAATTAGTTCTCAGGTCCTTTTCGGAATAAAAATATGCCAGGCATTGAATGCAAATTCAGCAGTCTCAGCGCAAAAATTAAATTAAAGCAAATCAAAATTCTGACATCATGTCATCGCTCTGCCTCGAAAAATCCCAGAGATTTACTTGCAGGTCTTCTTTCCTTTTTCTTTTCATCAAATAGAAGATCTGCGATGCTCAAATTGTATAAGTCATGGTACGAAACACTCTTCTTTGCAGATCGAGCCGTGATCGCCGCCATATTGAATTCTCTTGATATTCTATTGTTCCGGAGTGTAATACGATATACCGCTGATAATTGTTAGCGGGCTCGAAATGTCCTTGATTTCTGGCGATGCGCTCCTTACGTAGCAAACACTTAGAATGACGACTTAACTCTGCTGTGAGCCAGATGAAATTAATGTACTTCCTTTCACGCGCTATTGTTCTAAGCGTGCAACGTGACGGAACCAACGCTGGCCAAGAATGAATAATAATCCCATTGTTATTTTAACATTTTCAAACTCTTCGTCGAAAGCAATAACAATCCTAGTTTAAACTCTTATGCAAGACATTTTATGGGTTTGCCGCACTTACAGAAAAAGAGACAAACTTCCTTGTTGATATAGTCAAGCACTGCCAAAGAACAAAGAAATCTCATAAAGATAATTTTTTCGACGGTAAGGTGTTGGTATCACGGTTGCGCGCTGATCATTTCCAGAGTTTTAGGCCTTACGGCTTAAAACATATACTTCTAACTGTATATTTCAATAACAAAGTCAAGAGTTTGACATGGCTTGTATGTACTTACTCAGCGTAGAACGTATGGATTGGACTGTGAAGCCTCATATTTTTTACTAGAAAGAATCCCTTTCATCGCACCATAAATCATAAGTTTTCGTTAGCAGTTGTCAGTGCGCTTACTCTGGTTTTTCACATGGTAGCATCATGGCGGATTTTTCAACGTCTTTCAACCCTTTTTGCTGGAGGTAGACTATAGTGGACATTATAATGCTCTGTTTTTCCATCTAAGAACGGACCAATGAGGCTAAAGACAATTGCGCATGGTGTGGAGAGCTATTAAAACAAAAGAAACGCACGGCATAAAAATAACTGTATTTAGTTAGCGTTTTGGTTATATTTTACATGATATAGGGCCGGGTCCTTTAGACTGATAGCACTCCAAGAAATTCCCCTCTTCCTTAATTTATCATTTTTGTCATTTTTTCAATATTATGTCACGGCTTTTCCTCGGAATGAAGCGGATGTGGTTCCTCCCCAAAAAATGGATTTGATTGGCTGAATATTTCAGTGACGAGGCAAATTTGCATTCGCTACACTCGTTTTGGTTCAGACCCTAATTTCATACCGACAGATTTTAAAAGCTTCCTAAAATCAGATGGCTTATTTAAGATTAGTAAATACCACACAAATGATGAGTGCTTTTTGCGCGCGCAATGCTTGTTTTTATTGTCCCAGTTTCAAGGATACTTCCACTGTTATGGCTGACATCTCAGATTGAAATGTGACTCTTTCGAAAAACTGCCAATCTCACGCACCATAGTAGTAAGCACCATTTGCTCGCGAGCTTACATCTTTAAAAGTCTGAGCGAGTCATGCTAATTTGTTACGCATCACGAGAGTTCGATCATTTTCGTAATCCTCTGTTTATTCTTTATTCCTTATGATCCTATAGTTAGTGAAATCTCTTAGTCTCGTTTCACTCAATAATCTTCAAAATATTTTAAGCCATATTTCAGAAGATTGCCCTTTGAGCTCTTTAGACACCTTTTACAAGCTTACCCAGAGGATTTAGGGCGATCTCTTTAAACTTTAAAAAAAAATTGGATTTTATTAGCTGGATATTTCAGTGACGTGGCAAATTTGCATTCGCCAAATCGTTTTGGTTCAGACTTTGATTTCAAACCAACAGATTTTGAAAGCTTCTGAAAAATCAGGTGGGTGATTTTAGATTATTATTACACCCATTTTGAAATCACTGGTGGTCGCTGTAATCTGATTGGCTTTAATTGGTGCGATTTATTGGCGAATCGCACCATTTTTTGCTTTAAATCGCATCATTTTCCAAGCCAATGAGGAGGCTACACTGAAAACAAAACAACCAATCAGATTTCAAGGCTTGTGTTCGGGAGCGATAACGAAAACCTCCTAAATGCAACTAAACTGGAAAACACAAGCGATAACGAAAATCTCCCAAATGCGACTAAATGCCGCTAAAAAACTGCCACTAATTGCGACTAAAATGCGGCTAAAAAACTGCAATTCAAACTACGACAACACACACGCGAGAAATCGTAAGCGTAACTTGCTTACCACTGATTAACGTTAAATGTCTCAGCGCGCGCGCTAATTGCACGACACGCCAGTCCGGTACTTTCTTCTTAACAGCTTGTTAAAGTAACCAATGTAATTGCAGGAAAATGAAAGACAAAGAGTATCATGTGGCAAATTTTGCAACCCTTGTTTCCAAAATTCTTGTTTTTTCCCCGCCAAAAATGGACGAATTTTATTTCAAACTAGCTCAGTACTGCATCAATAAAATATTTGAACTGACCAAGTCCTGTACTTGGGCGATTTCAAAATGGATGTAATAAAGTGGTAATTGAACCTTGTGCCGTGCAATTTTGGTCTGAGATCATACTTGTGATTTCAAATCGAACTTGCGCTGTGCACTCGTTCGATTTTGAAATCACACGTAAGATTTCAGCCCAAATTGCACTCCACTCAGTTCAATTACCATTATGTATATACCACACGAGTGACGAGTGCTTTTTGCGAGCTCCGATTAGCCAGTTCGGAAGTGAATAGCAAGTACTATTCACCTCCGAGCAGTAGATGAGACAGAATTGCGCCTCAAGAGTTTAATTTTCGACCATTTTCGGTATTTAAATAAAGTCATTTTTTGGTCTTTGTGTGGTACACACTAAAGTAATTATTCCCATTAGTGTCTGAGAATAATTGTTAATTGTAACATAACGCTGGTGCTTTTCTAATCTAACTGCTATTGAGCCATCATAGCCAAATCTTTATGAACGCACGACCGGCCATGTGTGTATAAAAATTTAATGATGTGTACATTTATAATTTGCTAGAAATCTTAAGTCATGTTTGAGTGATCAAATGTTTCTATCTAGATTGAGACAGCCCCATTGGATCTCAAAATCAAAAATGAAATCGCTGAAGAATACTCTACATCGAAAAACAAGAGAGAGCCTAGATTTTGCTCTCGGCCACCCTTTGGGCGGCTCTCACGCTTCTCCAAACCTTCCTCGTGTATCCATACACCTAAAATATACCCATGTTAAGCGTAGACCATCTCGTGAATTACCTAGTTGCTCAACTTGAATATTCTTACTTATTTTGTCAGAAGACATATTACATAAATCATATAAATTACTTTGCCGTAGATGTCTAATTTCTAGCTACTTGTTTTGCTTGTAAATCTCTTAAGTAAAGAAAACTAAGTGGTAAAACGTCGATCCATTAGATGTCGTGGCCGACAAGGGATTTGTCTGACTGCCCTAGTTAATACTACGACTAAAGATTCTGTTACATGCATGATAAAATTTTAAAGCAGCAGACGCTAATTTGTTGACCAGATTAGAGAAATCATGCATACCACCGAGAAGCTAAGTAAATAATTCAAATCATCGATGAAAGGTGATATTGAATTCAGTTCAATTTTTTTTTTGGCGACAACGTGAATAAATTCAGTGCTCACATGCTGGGACTTAACAAGACTTTAAAAAAGCACATAAACAAAAAAAGCGTTTGATTGGCGCGAACAAAACTGTGCGATTTGAGGAACAGATAATGTCCAAGGACAAATATAGAAGCAGATTTTCGTGACAAATTATGGCGATTGTGTTTATTGTCCTTCAAATATTTGCAACGTGCATGAAAAAAACGTTTACGAAGAGCCTTCTGTTTGTTGCGTGGGTGTCCTCTTTTGAGGTTTTTTTTTATATGACTTTATGAACAAACAAATATTTTACTCCTGCCGTAACAACGATAAAACGCTTTCTAAATTTAAAACGAAGACTTATTAGTTGAAGAGGACGTTATGTTTGAAAATTGGGAATATCACCTGGGTGATACTTTTGGATATCACCCAGTTTGAGCTGGGGTTGTTAGTTACGTGACACGTTGAGACCTGATTTTGCGCCAGTAAAAATATTTGATGAATCATCATTTTTCTTATCTGTTCGTGATGAGAATGAATCATGGCGGCATAATACCTGTTATCACGTTGAGAGAGGTTTTCCGGAATTCATGCCGTTTACGCCTGGACACGTAAACCACTTAAATAAAACTGAGAGTAATCGTTATCATAAATTGTTATCCATGTTTCTCTCCCGAAATCGAAGTAAGTGGTATTTTTGAGCGAGATTCTATACATTTAGTGGTCGATTGTGGCATGATATGTTGCTTTATATTATTTTACATAATACCCTGATTCTGTTGACATTGTAAACCCCACCATTCTCCGTGGGTGACTGCTCAATACAGGTTTGACTGTACATTTTTTGCTTTCCAGGACACAAAATATTAAAATCATGAAGGGATACTACTTAAATGAGAATATTCCAGATTTCGAAAACAAAACAGTGCATATCAGATGAAGGGGTTTTTACCGAATTCTATTTTTGGTTAACACGACACGAAAGCAAACAGGCTTCCGAATCTTCAAGAAATTTAATCGATGTGTGAGCACTTTGAGTCTTATACCTTAAGTCTTTCTCGAAACGGACCCATTGAGCGTTCTTTAAAAAAGTTAATAAAACGAGAAGACAAATTCTAGCCTTTTTCGCCCAACGTTCGCTGTCGCAATATTTAAGCTGAGTCGAAAACGAAATGACGGTGCAGGACACTTCCCGAATCGATTCTAGTACGTCATTTAAGCTCGTTTTACTTTCATCCGTCATTTAGGTTGAATACGCCACAACTAAGAGATTAAAGGCAATACGAAAGTGTTCCAACAAAGACACAGATTCTCAACAGAAATGGGGAAGAAGAAGCAACGGAATTCCCGACCCCAGGTAAGACTAAAACCCTTCTTTCTTGAGTTCAGTAATAAACGTATTGAGTGAGTTTATCTTCCTCTCTCAGCGAGCATCGGTTCGTTATATCCTTGAATACACAATAAGCCTCACCCGAAAGAGATCTTTTATAATATTCATCGTCTGAAACAAAAGTCTTATGTATGTGCTTGAATCGAAACCTGGCCCGCGCTGTAGGTAATAAATACAACATCCATTGCTTGCTTCTTTGAACATTTGCCGTGAAAATTTGTATCTGTTATCGCCCTTCATTGAGCCCTTTACGTCAAAGCTTTATTTAGTCCAAACTCTCATAACCGTAGATCAGGTGATATTCCAATGAACAATAATAGTCCAGCCTCAGCCTGTTCCATTGAGTACAAAGGGCGCGATGCCGCGTTTATGAAACGCTTTAATTTACATTTCACGCTTAAGCCTTTTAGCCGAGATTTTGAAATAAAAATGATTTATTTTTCCGAGAACCATATCCCTCCTTAGAAAATCGGAAGTATGTACTGTTTGATTCAGATAATTTTTTTTATCGAGCGCACAGAATCATAAGCTTTTCCGTCTGCTTAACAATGTAAATCATAACTTTTTCTTTCGATGTATGGTGTTCCAAAGATCAGTTTAATAAATATGAAATATTGTTATTTGATATACCTTGGAAGCAGCAACGCCATTTTACCGAGTTGGCAGATCAGGGTCAAATCATGGTACAGAAAATCATCCTATTTATATTCTTGTCGGTAGAATCTAGAATAAATTTAGTTTCTGATATAGGGTGAATCCATTCTTAACATTTGAAGCAAGAGCTATCCCAATATCCTACCATTTTACATTTGAAAACCCATCGAAAACGCTGATTTTCACTCGAAGTGTGTGGCAATCCGTGTTGATTTTATTAAAAAGGTATTTGATAGAGAAAAAAGCGTTCTAAGTAACATAATGTTTTTTGTTCGTTTGTTTGTTTGTTTTTTTTTTTCTATTTCTTACATATTACGAGGATTGTTTCATCCGCCAGAAAACCTTCAGGGTTTTACTAGTAAGTGAATATGACACTCTTTGTTTTCGTATTTTAGTCCATCAGCGCTCGACAATGTTTTGCTTCGAGACGCTTTTCATATCCGGCCATTTGTTTATAGATTAAATTTTCGCTATGTAGCTCGAGTGTGTTGCCAGTTTCGGCTTGGAATATCAACATTTATCTTTTAAAACCAATAGTCACAATATCTCAATACTGCATAAGAAGAGAGGGAGATTTACTCCTAGAATAAATTGCGTTAGCTGTTCGTTTGGAAAATTGCGCTTTCTCCATAAAAATGTTGGTATTTTGGCGAGAGACTTTCGGAAAATGGTTTCAGAAGGGTTCAGAAACTCTAAAGTCATGTAGCGGAAGTTAGCGGAATACTGCACAATAAAGGCCTTTGTAAACTTCTGCGTTTTTGTGCGCTTTAGAGTGGATGTTGGTCGAAAATAGAGTAGATATAGTAAAATAGAATTAATTAGCTTAATTTTGCAAAAACTCGTGGTTTGAACTTTGATGGCGTCATTTCTATGATCAATTAGGTTATAGACAAAGGAAAATTGCGGTCAATTTGTCAAGTAAAAGGAACCCACCACACTGACTCGAGGGTCCAAAATACACTTTCCCAATTCCGCATCCTGCCGCTTTTCATTCCATCCCGCCGCAATGAACATTTCATCTCGATCACGCCTGGTTAAACCCAAGTTTCTATAGTTCCCCGCCTGATCTAAACTGATGGACAAATTGTAGCCTCAACAATTTTGATAATGTACTCCCGATCTCCTGTTTGTGGAGAACCGCAAGGACTTGCTTAAAGCATATTTAGCCAGCTCGAAAAAACGGTAGTTCTTTGGTGTGTTTTAGTATTTATGGGTGATATACAAAAACTCAGGCGGACCAACAGAAAAGCGATCAAATTCTTCTGCTGATCGGTAAACAATAGAAGTCATATCTCAAAGATACAACAAACTTCATGAAGTTCACAGAAAAACAAAACAAACCTTTCTCATTTCAATACACGTTCCGAGCTTATCATGACAAATATATTACGAGCTGAGAAAATGAACATAGTATGCACTGCGTACGAGAATTTTTCACCGGAATGACATTCCAATGAAAAACATTCCAATTCATACACAACGTGTCACCCACCGGAAGCAAAGAAACGCTTTGCTAAAGGCGAGGCGTTACGACTCCTCAGGACTTATTCTTCAAAGCAAAAATTTGTTCAAAATATATTTGGAAGAGGTTGTTTTGAACAAAGAAGTAACCCGAAAAACTTAATTAACAACACACCATAAGAAGTGAAATTTGAAGTACGTAAACGCGCCCTCCTCCAGCAGGGAAAAACAAACAACAACCATTGCTATGTGGCGTCTTCAAAAAGAATCGATAATATCATACAGAAATGGGCGTTTATTCAAAGAAATAATAGTGACAGCAAAATTAAAACGTATTAATTTGGAGCCGTGAAGGCATACAAGCACTTGTAGCAAATAAAGAGAAAATTGGACGTACTACGGGGTCATTTAGGCCGGTTTAGCCCAATTTATGTCTCTGAGGTCGTGTGACTCGTTAGCTAAATTATAATCCTGTTTGTACCCTTCCTATTCCCTATCCTGTCTTCGAAACGGAACATATAACGGTCTTGCCCTCCTATTTTCATCCTGTATCCGGTCTTTAAAATGCCTCATATCCCACATCCCGCCTCGATTTTAAGCCTTATCTTACATCCCGCCAAACCTATGTTGGACCCTCTGACTGAGCTCGCATGCATAAGAGAGTACTAGATAAAATTTTCTTAGAAGCCATTGTTACACAAAATATCCACACGGTTTTAGGTTTTCCACGTGTATTCTTTACCAACTGAACATAGGATTATCCTCACAACTTTTTTATCGCTCGGTTCTCTCTAGCACATGGTTTTTTTCTTACGTCATATGACATCTACCTGGATGTCCATTCCTCTCCGCGCGAACGCCCTACACTTAACATAAATTCCTCTAGGAAATAACGCGATTTCACTACTTAACGCCATCAATATCGTCTCCCATCTCTCTTATTTCCATCTTTCATCATCGGTTTACTCAAATATCGTTCTCTTCATGCATTAGATTATAGACGCCTCATCTTTAACGAAGAAACTTCGACGTTTCTCCGAAGATTATGTGAAGATTTCTGAAGAAACCAGTACTCGTGCCAGGACGTTGGTCAAAGACTGCATTGAAGGCCAGATCATATCGTACTGCCGAGACAATTCCATGATTGAAATACTAAAGCTGGAGTATACCGGCAGCTTTTACGAGGGTTTAAAGACTGAAGCTGCTGATGAGGCCGACATTATGGTAATACTGAAAACACCAAGTACAGGGATCGAAGTCATCCAATCCAAATTTCCCGGGTACGTCCGACTCAGAGCAAGAAATGCCCAAATGTTCGAGAAGTATTTAAGTACAGAAGGCTACATTAATGCCAAGAAGCTTCGAAATAGCTGGTTCCACAGTCTTGTTCACCAAGCAAAGAATAAGGTTAAACCAAAATCGCCATACTCTGAGGTTCGTCTGGATGTGCGTAGTCACGGACCAGCTGTCCAGGTGGACATTTTCAGGAATGGAATCTCTGATGAGAAGCTTTTATCAGTTGATCTCGTCCCTAGCCTCGAAGTCGAGGGTAGCTGGTATGTGCCCAAGCCTTTTAAAGGGAAGCGATATGTGTCTAATGATGAGTTTCTTTGGAGGCAGTCGTTTTCGTTACAGGAGAAGCAAGTACTAGAGTCCATGGACAGGGAAGACCAAGGCTGTAGGCACGAGCTCCTTCGAATCGTGAAGACCGTAGTCAAGAGGCCAGTGACATCTTTACCACTGGATTCATACCACTTGAAGACCGCCTTTATGCACTATATCGAAAGGAAAGGCCTGGACTGGAGTAAAGACGCGTTGGGGAGAAATTTCTTTGGATTTCTTACAGAATTACAGATTTATATGGCGAGCAGAAATCTTCCCCACCGTTGGTTGGATGATGTTAACGTTCTGGATGATTTCAAGGGAGGGGTTGTCCAGCAGATGGCGAATCGTTTAAGAAGGATCCTAAACAGCGAAGTAAGGCTGAACAAGATACTCCAATAGCCTTCATGACTCTGCCATGTCTGTCTCTCTCGTACAATCAAAGCTATCTATCATTTTATTGAACTTTCGATTATCGATTTTGGAAATGGCTAAATTTAAACGCCAGAACATGTCCCTTGGAGGACATCAAATTTTAAGTTTATTCACCATATTATTTTGTTCCCTATCACCTTGTAAGGTGGTTTACCGCTCCAACCTATATTCATTTTGTGTTTGGTTACCTGGCATCTGAACACAACGAAATTAATAAAGGGAAATGTCTTACCGTTATTAAAAAATCATTGATAGCAAAGCAGAATTGAATAGTTTTTCTTTCTAGAGACCAAACGACGGGTAGCTAACAATTATTCTTCAATCTTTGTTCTCATTTTTTTTTCCTGGTACAAATTCCACATTCATTGGCACGCTTAAGGTGAGAAAAAAAAAAGATTGGTTATTTGACGGTAGACAGTTTTCCCCTAGCATTAAACAAACAAATGGAAAATAAACAGACAAAAAAGTGACTTCGTAGTTTAACTTGTGCTGTCGTGCAAGTTGAATTCATTTCCGCAAGTGGACCAGCAACTGTCCTATATCTAGAGGTATTATTTAGTGTTTGTTGAAATCTGACATCTTACACGCTCATTTATTCTTGGAGACATTTCTTCAATCATATCTTCTAAATGAAAGCAATTGTATTGTGACTCCCGCATGGCTCATCAAATGCTATTATCATTTTTTTCATCCGTTCTTTTCTTTTTCAATTTTGTTTCTATTCATTCATCCATATTTGATAAGGCTAAATTAATGAGGTAGCTTTCCAGGTCATTTGCGGGTTTTTTACAATGCAATTCAAGATTTAAAACGCGCTATTGGAAATTTATCCCTGTGTGGCATATCGTTTGCCTTTAATCCGTCCAACGAGGCGAAAAAGCATCTGGATAAATTTTTTTTCGAGTGCTCTTGTTAGTTAAATTTCAAAAACATTACATTAGCGTGCAAGTACTGGTTTTCCAAATGATTTTTCCTTTAAATAACTTTTAAAGAAATATTCCTCGTAATTAGATCAAAATCTTGTTTCGCCTAGTTCATATCTACACAATGCTGTTGTTTTGAAGACGTTCAGTAATGTTCAACCTAGCTTGCTAATAATCATATTTTTTTAAAAAAAGCATCGTAAAGTTTATGGCGTAATTTGTTCTGCTTTTGTTTTTCTTTCTTCCTTGTTGGCTTTTTTTTCCCGCTTTTAACGCTATGTAGGACAAAAGGGTAAGAATTAGGGTAATTAGCGTCCACTAGTAATGTAAAGTGCATTAAAAAGTGTACGTTTTAAGTAACGTTAAGTAATTAGTAATTTCATAAGTAACGTAACTTAACTAGCTGTATCGCTAGTAACGCAACGTAATTAGTAATATTATAATTAAAAAATAGCAGTATTGTAGGTAAGGTAACGTTATTAGTAGTATTGCTGTACGTATAGTATCGTAGATTGTATTAGTATTGTATTGTCCGCTTTATAGATCCTGTTTCTGTAGTTGGAATGAAGCTAAGTAATAATAATAAAAGGGATCATATGATGTACGCTTTGTGACTGAAACACGTGACGTAAAAGTTGTCGGGTTTCTATGCATAGAACACTCGACACGAAAGCAAAACGGCTTCCGAACATTCAAATACTTTTCACGCAGATACCTAAACATATGCTTCGTAACAGACCCATCAAGCAGATTCTACCCCATTTTTCGTTTAAATCTAAGAAAAATCCGTTGCAAGATTTTGTTCTGGATAGGAAAGTAAAACTGCGACGCAAGGGATTCTCCGGCTTGCCTTCCATTTCTTCATGCCTTTCCATTCATGTCTGTTTCACTTTTATTCGTAGCCTATAAGTTGCGTAGAATGGGTAGCAGTTTTGTTTTCCACAATAAATCGCAGATGCATAGAAGAACTTTTTGAGAGGAAGCAGATTTCCATGTTAATAAAAGTACCTTGCTGCCGCGACATATCATACTTTTGTAATTACTTCCAATAAAACAAAATTGTGTTCTGACAATCACATATCTTTCTGAGAAAACCGGAAGTACTGTTTGATTTGCATACTTCCTACTTACTAGGCTGACACGCAGGGCCTATTGAATTGCAAGCTCTCCCCTTTACTCATATTTTGCGATGTACGCCGCAACAAAAGATCAGGTAAGCTATGGATCATTGCACTCTGATATACCCTTTCGAGGAGAGACCCCAATTCAGTGGTGCCTTTGTCGAGTTGAGTTAGCTAAACAGGGCTATAGTGTCTTATAGTTTTAGAAACGCCATGATTACTGCGTAGCAGACTTATTATTGTGGTCAAAAGGATCAGCACGTCACCCTACGTTACTTATTATTCGAACCAGTCAATTTCTTATACAAGGTCAATTCACTCATACTAGTCGAGATATACTGCCGTTTCAAAAGTTTTGAATAGCGCATCGAATCAACTGTCCTTCGACAGAAACGAAAGGGTAGCCATTGTTTATTATCACCTTTGGTTCGAATTTCTGAATCCTCGTATTATGTGGGAATTCGATTTTAATAGAAAAGACAAAATATATATTCACATAGAGAGAAAAGCGTTAGAAGTCGCAAATTGAACATAACGTAACGTATCGCTCGTGCTAGTAGTTTTTCGATGGGCATTCGCTAGCAAACTGACTCCGATTGTATTCGTGATAATAAATGGAAGCCCGAAGTCGTTTTGATCGCATTTTTCGATCATCAACAATGGAAATCCTCTCGGTTCCCTTCGCGATTGACATAGCGAAAAAGCTCACCTTCATTGACACAATGGTAAGTAGTTTAATGAACGTTTTCCAGATTCAGTTTTGTATATCGTTTGTACTGTCGCTTTCTATTATGCAAATTTCGGTTCGATTGTGCTGACAGTTCAACCACGGATTCCGAAACCAGTGTCCAAAATATATTTTAATACGCTTACAGTGTAGAATTAAGAACGAGAGAGCGAGATTAAAATCTTTCCGCATTAAATTTAATTTCTGTGAAAACTGCATTTTTTATCAAAAATGGTTCTATTCTGTGAAGATACTTTCAGAAACGGTTTTGAAAAGCTCCGTTTCCTAGAGCAAAATTATGCATGTCTAGAGAACAGCCAGTTCGTAGAAATGGTGATGTAGGAGGTGATGTCACGAACTCTTTCCTCAATGGCATTTCACTAGTAGCCCAGCAGACCTAGTAAGTCCTACTTACAATTTGTCACAGTCATTATACTGACGTCTGTATCTCTGCTGATAATTCAAAACTCTGACGTTTCGAACCAGTTCAGCCCGAAACACCATCTCCACATTACCACGAGTACTGTAAAATCCCAAACCAATTATATTGCAACATAAACAGTTAAAAGAGTCATAGGCTTGCAGTTATTCCGAGTGAAATTGGCGGACAGTGCTTGGAGGATGGCAAAGGGTTATTGCGTGACGCGTGATGGCTCCAAAATGTGCTGGGTGACGCGTGATGGCTCCAAAATGTGCTGGGTGACGCGTGATGGCTCCAAAATGTGCTGGGTGACGCGTGATTTTACCCAAGCTATCCGCGTGATGCGGGACCGGACATCACAACATGATGCGCGATTTGCTATTTTTACAAGTGCGTGACGCGTGATTTACAAGACTTACTAATCAGATTTCCGTGATAAGTGAGCGCTCTTTGACCTAGAAGGGTACCAGACATTCAAAGTAAATAGAGTCTTAACAAAATTCAATAAACCAGGGCAGCTGACAGTTTTCTTGTCTTTTCCGTCCTTTGCTAAGCTTTGCTTGACCTTGGATGTCTTAGATCTTCGTGGTAGGTCCAAACAATCGTGACACAATAAGCATAAGTTGATAAAGTTAATATTTGCACAAGGACTATGACCCTCTGTGTTAGTTTTGTCGACCTCGTGGTCATGGTGGTGCGTGGGATCCAGAAGACCAGAAAGTCCACGGTCGGTCCACGAATTTTACAGCTTGAAAGATAGCCAAATTAACAAAGTTCATACTAGTTCTCATGAGAAAAACATTGACGAAACTACGACTTCTGACTCCTTGAACAACGAACTATGATGACTATGATGCCCAGACGAACACCTCAGATGTTGAAAAAATCAAGACTATTCGTTTTTACTGTGTTCGATACTTGTAAAGTACGATTTGATAGTCCGATACGAAGCCCGAGTAAACGCTCTGGGAGCGTCTAGTTTCAACAGGTAAATCGTCTTTATTTGTCATAAAAAAAGCAATATGCCATCTGAAACGCAATTCATTCCAGAAGGAAAACGTTGGGTACAATATAATTTCTAATAATACATCCCGTAGGTTGACATCTTACAGCATTAGCTGAGCGTACCTACTCCTTTTTTACGTGACGCGTGATTGGTAAACAAATTTCTCCGTGATGCGTGATTTGATAGAAGAATTCTGCGTGATGGGTGATTGGAACCCCCCCTTTGCCACCCTCTATTTACACCGTTGGGAAATGTGTTACGCCTTCTCATATAATTATCAGCAGCATTTCTTGCGCACTTCCGGCCCCAAATCTCCAAGCACTTTTTTCGTTTTTTAGCCTTGAATTTGAAATAACTGATCTTCTAGTATTGCGCCTACTTTTCACCCGTTCGTCTCGTTTACAAGTCCCAATTTAGCCGCTCCTTCCATTGATCCAATTTAAGGAGGACTGGCAAGGCGATTTAGGACACATTAGCGGTTTGTCAGTTTATACATTACATGAGTCTTTAGAAAAGGTGATCTAAACTGCAATTGAATAGCGCCTCTGATTGGTCAGTTATTTTTACCTTGTCACGTTGTCTCAAAATACCTTCTGCGTTTTCTCCGATGAATTTGAGGAGCTGGTTAAAACAGTTCTATACGTTTTAATCGGGCATGGAATCAGATGAATCTATTTATTTTGTAGATTCCGCGGTAGTAAACGCTTATGGATCGGTTGTTGCTAAAGAGGAGCACGAAAATCCTTGCGAGCATTTCGAAGAAGGTGAAAATGTTGATCCACCACGTTTTCATCCATTCATCGATTTTTTTTAATTGAAGTTTGCCTGCCCGTGGAGAGGAGCTTGCGCTCGAAAGAGTGGTCGAGGTTGTTGTCCATGCAAAGCAGTAAATAAGAATTGTGAGGCAAACTGTCATTGTCGCTGACGTTCCTGCAATGAAGTAACTAAACTTAAAATAATTAAACGTCCGGCAGTCCGATATTTTTCCATATTTCTCTTCGAAATCCAAAAAATATTTATAAGAAAATGTTCTACCTTTATTTACTATCCTCAGGCGCTTCTAGGAAGCCTAAAATTTCGAACTTGATGTTTTTCGCTAACCCTGTGTACAAAGTACGAGTTTAGTTATTAATCAACAGTTGACAGTTGACTATATGTCCAGGATGGCTATTGAGAAAGACGATTTTAGAAGGTTTTCAGTGATCTGGGAATTTCGTGTTACAGGAAATTGGGTCGCGGCGCGCGTTGCATCAAGGTTGGAAATGGGCCTTTACATTAGAGTAGAGTAGATAAGGAAGGAAGACAGGACTAGAGGAAGAAGAGAAAAGTGTCAATAATGATTACTGTGGTTAGGGGTCTGTAATTACTTCCTATGCACGCTGACTCAGCTTGTGTTAATGACAAGCACTTAATGCTAATTTTTAAAATAATTAATAACGTTTTCATCACTAATGCATCAGATAATGGCAGAGGCCGAGGCGAGGGAAGAAGACGCTCTTACTTTAACGAAGAAACTTCGTGATTTCTCCGTAAAGTACGTCAAGATTTCTGAGGAAGACATGACTCTCGTCAGAAAGTTGGTCAAAGAATATATTGAAGACAAGATCATAATGTATTGTCGGGAGAATTCTAAGATTCAGATACTAAAACTGGAGTACACTGGCAGTTTTTACGAGAGGCTGAAGACTGAAGCCGCTGATGAAGTAGATATCATGATAGTATTTAAAACGCAAACAGCAGAAATCACGGTAATAGAATCCGATGTACCCGGGTATGTCCTTCTCATGGCAAAAGAAAGCTCAGTGGTACGTAAGTATGCGTGGGATGATGGATTTATTAGCCCCAAACGCATCCGAGATCTTTGGTTCGGTCTCGTTCAGCGAGCAGTGAATTATATTCACGCTAAACCACCATATTCTGAAGTTCCTGTGGTTTTGCGTAACCACGGACCAGCTGTGCTGTTAGACATTAAAAAAATTTTATCAGTTGATCTCGTCCCTTGCTTCCAAGTGGAAGGTAAATATTATGTGCCCAAGCCTCTGAAAGGGAAACGATTTGTGTCGGAACCAAAGCTTCTTTTTTGGAGGCAGTCGTTTTCGGTAGAGGAGAAGCAAGTTTTACAGTCGATGGACAGGGGAGACCATGGCTGCAGGCACGAGCTTCTCCGAATCGTGAAGACCGTGGTGAAAAGACCGGAGACATCTTTACCAATGGATTCCTTTTACTTGAAAAACGCCTTTATGCACTACATTTACGGAGGAGGCAAAGATTGGGTGAGCGGAGACGCGTTAGGAAAGCATTTCCTTAACTTCCTAGAGACATTACGGATTCATATGGAAAGGAGAAGTCTTCCTCACTATTTCCTACCTGATGCAAACCTTCTGGATGATTTTAAGGAAGAAGTTGTCAAGCAGATGGCAAATCGTTTGAGAAGGATTCTGGAAAGCGAAAAAAGGCTAAACAAAATTCTTGAATAGCTTCGGCCATTCTGTCTTTTTCGCGCTGTCAGCGATATCTACCATTTTACCGAACTCGAGCTGCACATTTTTTTGGTAAAGGGCTAGTTGTAAACCCCCCCAAAAAAATCATTTTTGGCAGAGATTTGATTTGTGGCTGACTTACCAAATCATTTTTATCTTTAAGTAGATGTCTTATAACACATGCAGGTTTAACACTCCAAGCTATAGTCATGTGGACACTGAAAGTGATCAAATATGGTTGACAAAATATACAAAGAAGGAGGGTAAGTTTCCAAAGTAACGGTGGTTGTTTCGTCGGTGGGAGAGTGTAACATAGTAATTTGGTCAACTGAGTTGGTAAATTGGCCAATGTACGTTATCAGCTCAGTTGATAATACTAAATTATATGTCGACGAACAAACATGGTGACCAGAAACATTTGTTAACGTTGTGAAATCTTCCTTTATTAGTAGAAAACCATGATTTCATAATGGTAATTATTGAAATGTCCCACAGACATACGAGACTCTCTGATTTCTGGTACAGAAATTTCATCGAGTTTGAATCCCTCAGTTTATTTCTGAGTCAGAGTAAAAAAATATACACAACCCAGGTGATGTGAACACAATATTGGAAGTGTATAGTATGTTTTATTTGTCTATCTATTCATTAACCTGAAAAATGGAACTCAACCAAATATGAGTGGGATAAACGAGAAGCTGCTAATTGTTTCAAATGCTACGGTATCAAAACGATCAAAGGTCAAAGTATTGCACATTAGAGAAATCTTCCGCATATTATCGCTTGCGATATAATTTTGGCGTGAAACTAGGCAGAAATTAATTTACCCGTAGAGAGCAATCTGGAATTAGGTGTGGAAAATCATGATCAGTCAGAGCTGTTTTACTTTTACTTGTATGACTTGTCATCTTCTACCAACCAGATCCACAACAAAAAACTGTCACAACAAAGTCCTTCAGAAATCGGGCGACTAAGATTGCGGTTATATCACATTTGATTACGAAAGAAAGAAACAAAAAAAAACAAACAAAAAACAAGCATCAAATTCTTTTACAAATATCACTTTCCACCACCTATCCTGATACGGTAACTTAGAATGTTCAAGCCGAATCATGATTTGCTGCAACAGAAAAGATGCTCGCAAATTTACTTAGACATATGAATCAGTTCAAGCTTTTTTTTCCTTAATTTTTTTCTTTATTGCTTTCTCTATTTTTTTATTCTTCTTATTGAAGCTTTAGCCGTGAGTTAGCTTTCCAGGTCATTCATAAGTTTGATAATTAAAGCTGAAAATCGTGGCGTTAGGGATTTTCCCTTATGCGAATTAATTCTATCATTACTACTTCAATAAAAAGCAAAAAACAGAAAGAAGTTTGTACGATTACAGAATAATATGAGGTATTTTTTCATGAGGGCTCGATTTAAGTTTTTAAATATCCTGGGTTTTTTTCTGAAACTCCTGCCTGTATTTATTATTTTCTTATCTAGAAGATGATAGTTTCATTATGGCATAATACTTGTTGTGCATCGTGAGGGGTTTTTCCCTAACTCATGCTGGTTACGCTTGGACAGACCCAAATGTCGATAATAATGTCGATAGCGTCATGTTTGTAAATAGAATAAGATATGGTAATTTTTGTCCCAAGCTCGTGACCAGACGAAAAACATCCTCTATTTGTTTACCGAGCAAAAAACTTAAAAACTATTACAAATTCCAAAACAAAAGATGTTCCTGCCCGCATGCAAATCTGTTGGGTTACTATAATTGGCAACTATTTTGAAAGCAACTACCTGAAAGCCAGGAACTTTTATGTGATAATTTCCTTCCATTAACTGGCCTCGTGGAGCAATAATTTAGACAATTTTACGTGAAAAAAACACTTTTTGCCAAAATGTATTTTTTAAATAAAACTTGTTAAATAATCGAACCACAAATCATAATTATTTTTAAGTCTGTATTTAAAGTCCTTTGAAAATTGACTTTTTCAGTCATAAAAAGAAAAGGAATGTACTGTGACTGTTTATATTTTTTCTCTATGATACATATTTCGAAAATCATAAATAGATAAAGACTGGAAAATTTGAGAGCAAAACAGTGCATAACAGATGGAGGGGTTTTTACCGATTTCTATTTATGGTGCTCAGAACACCAAAACAAAAGATCTTCCATCAGCAAATATTAGTGATTAGCAAGCATTATTGAGGAGTGTACCTCGGGATATTCTTTTAAAAGGAAGAATTTGGGTTTTTTTTAAAGTTTATATATCAAGAAGGCAGATTCTACGTTTTTCGTTCAAATTTCCCCTAAATTTACTGCAATTTTTACTTTAAGTTAGATCGAAAACAAAAGTGCGGTGCAGGGGATTCCCCGACTCGATTCTGTCACGTCACGTTCTTATATATGTAAGTCCATCTCACCTCCAGTTTTCAGTTGGACCGAATGCACCACAGTTTAGACGTTAGAGGCTGTATTACACGGTTCCAGTATTGATTAGTTCGCTCAAGAAAGCTTCAACACCTTTACAAAGCAACAGACTCTTAACAGGAGGGGTTAAGAAGCAAAATTTCAAAAGCAGGTAAAACTGAAAGCATTGTCTCTTATGTTCATTGATCAACATACTGAGAACGTTTCTTTAGTTCTCTTAGTTAGAAACGATATTTATCGTCTGAAATAAAAGCCTTGTGCTTGAATCGAAACCTCGAAAAACGCTGTGTATTGTAAATGCATTCACGGCTTAAGCTTGCTTCTTTAAATATTTTCCCGTAGGTGTTTATATCTGCTATCGCGATACATATATCATAGCTGGCTTCATCCGGGTCTGACAAACTCTCACGTCCATGCTTTTATTTATGATTAAAAAATCTACGTGGTCAGGGGAGATAGATTGAAATGAACAAAAATAGATCATCCCGTTCAAGTGAGTAGAAAGGTTGTGATGTTAGCAAGGAGCGAAAGAAACTGTGTTTAATTGTAAACTACTAAATTCACAAATCATCCATAAGTATCGGATACCAGGTTTTCTCCGTAATAAATTTAAAATTACTTTTTCCGAGAACCACCTGCATGTTTTTCTGAGAAAACCGGAAGTCTGTAGGCTTAATTTCTTACCAAGCTGGCACGTGATGCTCGTACGCCCTTCCCGTCCTCTTGTATGTTATTAAGTTTTCCGATTGTAGAAGGTTTCAAAGATCACGCAAGTAATGCAATTGTAATTTCATATCCTCTTTTAAGCAGTAACGTCATTTAGGCTTATAGAGTCTTTTTCGAACCGTGTATTGGAAATGATAAACGTCATGAAGGAGGCATAGATTAGTTTTGCCACCATTTATGTTTTGGGCTTTTATTAAGTGTGAATGATGGTTCAAAACGCAAATTTCAAATGAAAACGCGGTTACTTTGATCAGAGTCTCTATGAAAGTGCTGCTTCAAACCGGCTGAATGAAGTAAATAAAGAAAGAATGAAGGAAGGAAATAAATGCTTACAAGATCTTTTTCTTTATTTATCAGAATATGGCATTAGCTAAGGCAAGGAGAGGAGACGCCACATCTTTAACGAAGGAACTTCGTGATTTTTCAGCAAAGTATGTGAAAATTTCTGAATTAAACAAGACTCGCACCAGAACGCTGGTCAACGATTACATTGAAAACCAGATCATAGAGTTCTGTCGACAGAAGTCCGAACTTCAGATTCTGAATCTACAGTACACGGGAAGTTTTTACGAAAGGTTGAAAACTGAAGCTGCCGATGAAGTAGACATTATGGTAGTACTGGGAACGCCAAGCTCAGAAATCGAGGTCATAGCATCCGAAGTGCCTGGGTATGTCCGTCTAAGGGCAAGAGGTGATCCGATTTTCTGCAAGTATTTGGGTCATGAAGGTTATCTTGACCCTAAGAGCTTTCGAGATCGTTGGTTCCAAAGCATCGTTCAGCGAGCAGTGAATAATATCAAACCTAAAGAACCGTTCTCTGACGTTCGTCTGGTTGTGCGTACCCACGGACCAGCTGTCCAGGTGGACATTCTTAGGAAAGGATCTAAAGAGAAGTTATTATCAGTTGATCTCGTCCCTTGCTTCCACGTCAATGATAGCTGGTATGTGCCCAAGCCATTTAAAGGGAAAAGATTTGTTTTCAATCACAAGGTTTTTTGGAGGCAGTCGTTTTCGTTGGAGGAGAAGCAAGTACTTGAGAACATGGACCAGCAAGACCATGGCTGTAGGCACGAGCTTCTTCGAATCGTGAAAACCGTGGTTAAGAGGCAGGTGACATCATTACCACTAGATTCCTACTACCTGAAGACCGCCTTTATGCACTACATAGAGAGACATAGCCAAGACTGGGTGAGCAGAGAAGCTTTAGGGAAACATTTCCTTGGATTTCTTGGAGAAGTGCAGTTATATCTGAGGAGCGGAAATCTTCCCCACTATAGTTTACCTGATGTAAACCTTCTAAATGATTTCAAGGAAGTAGTTGTAAAGCAAATGGCGAATCGTCTGAAAAGGATCCTGAATAGTGAAGCGAGGTTGCAAAAGATTCTTATATAGCTTATATGTGCGAATGAACAAAGACTGAAAATTTGACTAAACTACCTTGAAACAACAATAGTATATAAATCTTATACTTCTTACAGTATATGTGAAGTATACAGACATCTGTAATGACAAAAAGGTCATCCTTTCACGAGTGTAAGAATCTATACACGTACCTTCCACAGAACATATCAGTACCTTCCTACTTCATGCAGTATACATCATATATACGGACTGTTGTTTCCACACAATGTGCCCAGGCCTTTTAAAGGGAAAAGATTTGTTTTCACTCACAAGAGTTTTTGGAGCCAGTCGTTTTCGCTGGAGGAGAAGCAAGTACTCGAGAACATGGACCAGAAGGACCAGAAAGACCATGGCTGTAGGCACGAGCTTCTTCGAATCGTGAAAACCGTGATTAAGGGGCAGGTGACATCTTTACCACTAGATTCCTACTACTTGAAGACCGCCTTTATGCACTACATAGAGAAACATAGCCAAGACTGGGTGAGCAAAGAAGCTTTAGGGAAACATTTCCTTGGATACCTTGGAGAAGTGCTGTTATATCTGGAGAGCGGAAATCTTCCCCACTGTAATTTACCTGATGTAAACCTTCTGAATGATTTCAATAAAGTAGCTGTGAAGCAAATGGCGAATCGTCTGAAAAGGATCCTGAATAGTGAAGTGAGGTTGCAAGAGATTCTTGTGTGAATGAACAAAGACTGAAAATTTGAATAAACTACCTTGAAACAACAATAGTGTATAAATCTTATACTTCTTACAGTTTAAGTGAAGTATACAGACATCTGTAATGACAAAAAGGTCATCCTTTCACGAGTGTAAGAATCTGTACACGTACCTTCCACAGAACATATCAGTACTCTTCCTACTTCATGCAGTATACATCATATATACGGACTTGTTGTTTCCACACAACATCAGTGAACCTCATAACCCCTTCAGTATACAGTATGTATACTGAAACGAGTACTGACGTATAGGACATCTTGCTACAAGTGTATAACTTCCTGCTATTTCCTTAGCATGGCCTGACGTATCTGATTTTTAAACAGTACCTTAAACATCATGACACTTCTTTGTATATTCTGAACACGACTTTGTATACAGACTGTATAAGACCTACATAAGGAACCGTATTCAGATTATACGCAATTAGACTGCAAGCTTACGTACGGTAATAAAAATCAAACACAGCTAACACTCGTGTAGTATATATAGTTTCGTGTTCAAAAACAAAACAGAACAAAACAGGAATGGTACGAAATATAGCGGCTAGCTCAACATGGCGATCTCCAGTCATCGCAGAATAGTCAAGTAAGACTCAGAAATTACATCGGCCGCCCTCCGAGAGAACAGCTGAGAGCTTGCTCTGATATCCTTTCCGATGCGTTAAGAGGAAGGCGACATCAGTCCCTACAGCTGAGTTTTGTGTCTCGAGCAATCTTCATGTTCCGGTAAATTCGGCTGTCATTCATTCATAAAACACACGCTTGAACATGCAGATTGTTTTCTAGTTGTAACGTGAAAAAACTTGCGTGTTTTTATTGGCCACACTTCTTGAGTCTCCCTACTCAAGAAGTTTGGCCCGATTACGTCGTGTATTTCTCCCTACACTTTTTTCGTGCTCTAGCCACCTCCTGCGTGCTTTACGACAGAATAGAGCACAGTCAAGGCTCTGAGCTCATAACCAAGCTCCGACAAATATGTTTGATAAAATCGTCTGCGAAACCGCGAGAAAAATTTCTGTATACGACACTCCACATGACCTTAACGTGCCCTCAGTTGTGTTCTGGTCGACAAACGGTGATGACATTCTCTTTTTAATTCGGTTTGTTGGTGTCCAAATTACAAATGGAAATTCCACTGCATCGCTCTTCCTTTCGAACAATCGACCAAACTTCGACCCTCTTCGTAATTGCAAGATTACAGTTATATCCCATTTGATGAAAAAAATAAATAGAAAGCGAAAAGCACAAACAAAACACAAAAAAGAGCCTAAAATTTCCTCAAACTTCTTCGACAGTAAATATACTCTCCAACCTGGCGTCGACAAAAGGGACTTTAAGCAACGAGAACGGGGACGGCGACGCAAATTTCCCTTTCGTAAACGGTCGTTGCCATTTGAAACGGTCGATGCCATCTCTCGGAACGGTCGTTGCCATTGAAAACGGTTGATGCCATTCTCATGACGGTCGATGCCATCGTAAAGGTCGATGCCAAGAAGGAACCGATATTTCCGACTCTCTCCGACGACATGCGTGACAATTAGAGCAATGCGTGACTAGCTTTCCCACAAACCATCGCGATTTTTATCAAATCAAAATGGTGGACAAACCCGACAATTTTCTCAAAGATCTAATATCTTCAGCTATAAAAGAAGTCGAATCGAAAAGAAAATCTTTTGAATCGACCCAAGTTACAAAGGAGAGTTTTCTGGCTTCGCTTCCAGATGATTCATTTTACTACCTGAAGGCAATTTCAGGAAATGGAGAAAAGTTCAAAGTGCACTTTTTGACCGAAGATATAACGAAAGAAAACCTGGAGCAATGGATATCCGAATATGAAGTGATAAACAGCATCTCAGTGAAGTTAAAGACAAAGAAGGCACCAACAAGCGGCTATGTGTTGCAAAACTACTATAGATGCCAACACAACACTCGCAACTGGAGTCCAAGTAAAGATCCACAGCAGAAATTGTACTTGAATCCATCTGCCAGAGTAAAGAACACCAATTGCCCCTTTCAGATGATAGTCAAAATAGACAGCGAGGGATGTTGTTCTGTGGACATAGAGTGGGACCACAACCATTCACTTGAAACTCTGGAGACCTCTAATTTCCGTGACCTTTCTCCTGAGTGCACAGAAAGGGTTTTGAAGCTGTTTGAAAGTGGGCATACACCAGCAACCGCAAGGCAACATTACTTGAAAGAACTCAAAGAATCATGTCAGGATGAATTGGAATTTCACAGGAAAAAGGCCAATCGGGCAGTTATGCCAAGAAAAAGGGACTTTAGTTACCTCTACACGCAATTTGGTAAGGATAGGTATGGTGGACAGGGCGTTATGATGTTTGAAAGACTTGCCGAAAGGCTTGAACAATACAAGAAAGACAACCCTGAAGCTATTACTTGTTACCAGATATATGAAGGTGATAATACGCCTCTTATAATTGCTATTGTAACACCTCTCATGAACCGTGTACACAAGGAAGTGCAGCAGTCTGGTGAGATGGTTTTTGTTGATGCTACTTCTAATACAGAAGAGCACAATCTTAAAGTGTTTTTAATGTGCACAAACAATGTATCTGGAGCACTTCCACTTGGCATCTTGATCACCAGTGATGAGCAGGAGCGTACACTTAAACAGGGCTTTGAAATGTTTCGGTCCTGTTTACCAGAGTATGCATTCAATGATCGTGGTCGGGAACAAGGCCCCCAAGTCATCCTTACAGACAACTGTAAAGAGGAAAGAAATGCTCTGAAGTCTGTTTGGCCAACATCTGTTTTACTTCTTTGCATCTTCCACATGCTCCAACAACTTTGGAGATGGCTTCACGAGAGCAAGAACAGTATCAGCCAAGCAGATAGACCCTATTTTCTCACCCTTTTCAAGAGGTCCTTATATGCCGAGACAAAACAAGATTTTGAGAACTGCTTCAGTGAACTTTTGAATGATGGCCGTTGCAAGAAATACCCAAATCTAGTCAGCTATTTGCAAAATCTATACAATGACAAAGAATCTTTTGCTCTATGCTTTAGAACTGAACTGCTTGTTAGAGGTAACCACACCAACAATTTTGCTGAGGCTCAGTTTTTGGTTCGTAAGGATGTAATTCTGCAGCGCACCAAAGAGTACAATGTTGTTGGGCTTCTAGACAAGCTGACTATTGATCTAGAAGATCACTACAAGAATAAGCTCCTTAGTATTGCTGATGGGAGTTTTGATGGCGTGTACAGACATCGCTTCTTTGGCAAAGGGAAAGACGGAAGCACAGGGTTTAAAGTCCCCGATAAAAAAGATCTTGATGCCTACCTCTCAACTGTAGAGAACTTTGGCAATAATGTATTCAAAGTTGGAAGCTCTTCAGATAGCAGTCACAGGTCAGTAGTGTTTTTTCTTAGCCGTCACAATAGCATAATGCTCTGATGGTACAAGAGGGCATGTGTGGGTGGGCATTATTTTCCTATCTTTCCCCCATTGTCTGATTCAAATTATCTTGATAGGGGAAGCAGTGCAGGGGGGGGGAGGGGGCAGTGTTTCTAGGCTCCTCCCCTTTGGAGCAAAAATACATAAAACATAGGGACATAACAAGCACAACATATGAGATACATGTAATTCCTGCAGTTCATCTATATGCTGCATTCCAAGGATGTTGATTTAGCATAAGGAAGACCAAAACATGAGTAATATATTGTCCAGGGGGTGGGGTACCTTTAGTAATTTCCCTTCTTGGCAGGGTGTTGAGTTTTTTATAGCAAAGTAAGAGCAGGTCCTTACTCTGCTGTTAGGAATATTTCCATTAATATCTTAGTGGATCAACCAGTTGAAGGTCTAGAATGTATCTATTACAGATTGAAAAAACAAAAATTCCAGTTGTATTGAGATATTTATGAATTGTCTCATTGGTTCTTTGTCAGTTATACAGTGGACATGACTCTTGGGATATGTACCTGCACGGTTGGTAAAAACGGGAGCCCATGCAAACACCAGTATGTCCTGTGGGTGGCAAATCTAGCAGACTGCATAAACTTCATTCCAGTCAGTAACCCACATGAGAGGCAGAAATTGGCCTGGCTAGCAATAGGAAAGACACTTCCTGTTACTTGTTATAAGCCATTACGCTCTAGTGATGCTGGACAAACATCACAAACTGATGGTTCTAATGGTTTTGTAACAGAGGCATCCACTAGTATGGAAACAGCACAACAAGGGCCAAACTGCTCAACTGCTGAACTAATACAGAGCAATGATGATGAGGATGAACATTCCACTGAACCAATACAGAGCAATGATGATGATGAGGATGATTCCATTGCAAATGCTGAACAATTGTTGAGAAACTCTTGTGAACAAATAATTCAAAAGCTCCAAAGCTCAAGAGACCTTAATTTGGCTAAAGGTGTAATCAGGTTTGCAAAAAGGGTAACATCCTTAACCGCTGCTAGATCTATGCATTCTAATTTGGCAAGCGCTCTTTTTTCTTTCGGGTCCAGTGAGGTGAAAAAAACCGGAAATGGAAAAAAGATCCGAGTCCAGCCCAACAGAAAACGAAAGTGTGGTAGTGGAAGCCGTCAGGTTGTATCAAAAGGGCGACCAGTACAACTACAAGAACCAACCTCCAAGAGGAAGCGCACCCATGACTTGGCTAAAGCAGTACAAACAAACACTAAAAGTAGTAAGAAGTCTGGGTCCCATACTATGAAATCCAAGACAAAGCACATGCAAAGGAAAAAATAGGAAAACAGAGAAATCTTAGTGAATAAACAATGGAATGTTTGCATAATGTTTAACATAGAGGGAAATTCACTTAAGGCAAATTGCCTAGATTAAAAACCTGTCTCCTTGGATCTGCCCCTGAACAACAAGGTTATTAAAAAGATTGAGGTTTTGACATTGTAAATAAGTTTTAATTCATTCTTTCCTGTTAAAGTCTAACACAACATTTGTAATGATTTAAAATTTGGTTTGAACAGTAACATGATGTACATGTGCCAGAACTTATGGATTCTTCCATGGGTTCAGATAATTGGTACGATGCCATACAACTGTATAGTACCTTGTGGGTATGAAGGTTTGTTTGCTGATATCCTGATTGAGGAAAATTATAAGCAAAATTCAGCCATTGATTCACATGGGGCGCTAACTAATACTCAGGTAAATTAAGGCCTGGGCCTCCAGTTATTTCACCCAAAAAGTGGGGGGGTGGGCTATCTTCTGAAGATTAAGCTGTACAAACGTAAAACTTTGAAAAGATTGAAGGTTTGAAATTTTAAATAAGTTTTAATTCATTCTTTCTTGTTAAAGTCTAACACAACATTGTAATGATTTAAAATTTGGTTTGAACAGTAACATGATGTACATGTGCTGCAATGACCACAATTAATTTCAAAAATCGATAATAATAATTTAAAAACAAAAACAATTATGTATTATAGATTGATCCAATAGTCCTTTCAAATCATCTCCAGTTAAAATCACTAAATGCAGGATAGGTTAATTAAACATGTGACTTTTGGTGTCTTATAAGATTTCGTTTCTCTGCAAAAGTCTTTTGACAATGATCACACTTGTTGCTGTCTTTATGTTTCTTGTCTTTATGCCTCTTTAGCTTTTGCTCATGGTCAAACGATTCATTGCATTCCTCGCAAATGCACTCATGACAACCTTTCTGGTGGTATTTGAAGTCCTTCTCCCTTGTGAACTGGGTGCTGCAGGTTGGACATTTTTTTATCTCTGCTATTCCCATATCAAGGTCTTCCCTCAAGCTCTGTGCTTTATCTTTCCAGTCCTATGAAGATCATAGCATGATATTTTAAAAGGGGGGAAATATATTAGGGAACAATCGTGTATTTTTGATCCCCCCTATTTTTTATATAAACTAGATTGCAAAGACAGTTTTTTTCACCCTCTATCATAATTTTTTGAGGATAATACCCCCTTGCCTCCCCCCCTTTCCTCAAAACCTGGATCCGCCACATGTAGGTTATTTCTAATTAAAATTTAGGTTAAATTAATTGGTACATTATAATGGGCCTTGCTATCCCCAAGGTATATTTAAGAGTTCTGTCTGGAAAAATAACAAGTCTGAACATTATATTACAAAATTGACATTCAGCTTGAGGTCCCAGCTTGATTCAAGATCAACATTCATAACCTAACATACTTTTAATTGGAAAGTTTGACGAGAACATTTACACTCTCGGTCCTTACAAAGTTAGCCACGTAAACCACACAGCAGTCCACTGAAATGGGGCAGGGTTAATACACAAACATTCGCAATGTTAGAAGTTTATAACTAACCTTTCGTCTGTCTGTCGGCAATTTCTTCCACATATTGCCAACCACTTTGGAAACCTGCCCGATTCCCGCCCCCTTTCCAAGTTGTTCCTTGACATCTGGCTGTGGAATGATACAAAGTACGAGGAAACTATATCAGCTTATATCGAATGTAATTTCAAGGCCTACAAGAATAATTAATACAAGTGCAATACTTACAGATAAGATATTTGTTAATGACATAAACGAAAATTTTAGATGCGGTTTATTTTTCACTGATATTTCTGATCACTTAATCTTAATCACTTGTAATCGGATGTAAAGGATGTAAGGGAAACAACATGTTTTAGACTATTTGAACAAGCACTTCATCCAGGCTGAAAATGATTGAATATTTCGGGAATACAAAACAAACTCACCGCAACTGACTGCATAAAGGAGTTCCACCCCGTTGGCTTCTTAATTGATTTTTTTTTTGTTTCTGCACAAGAAGAATGGGTTCGTTCTGTTTCAGCTGGCTCAACTCTCGCGCACGTGGATTGCTCCGCCATCTTATAAACAACACTGCCCGGAAGTGACGTCCGAGCATGCCAACAGCGTACGAGCTATTCACGAGGGTTGTCGTCTGCTCGGCTAGTTTTAGAAATAGCATCGACCGTTTCAAATGGCAACGACTGTTCTGAGAAATGGCATCGACCGCTTCAAATGGCAACGACCGTTTACGAAAGGGAAATTTGCGACGGCGACGGGGACCGCAGGCTCTCCAGGAAACTCCAAATAATCATCTGCGCATGACTGGCGGGAAAAAGTTTGACGTTCTGCGTTCGGCCCCGACGTGAAACGAAGTCACTTTACGTAAGCTGAAAACGTGAGTATTCTTTTTCGCCTTCTCTGCCATCTAAGCGTTAAATATTCCCGGGATACAATTTAAAATAACTTTCATCGCTTTTTCTTTCATAAAGTGAGGTTATTTTTTAATTTGATGGTTTGTTTTTAAACAGAAACGTCGAGACGCTGATCGAGACCGACACCATTTGACGAACATGTGAGTAAGAAATGTAATGTAAATAAGCTTGGCTCAAACTGATACCAATCGAAAATTAGCCGCTTAGAATAACTCAAAAGTCGAACAGTTATACAAAGAAGATATTCTGACCAGATTTAAAAGGGCAGACAGCCCTACAACTTATGTAGCCGTTTTGGTTTTTTTATCTGCCAGCACAAGTTTAAAGAATTTTGTCGCGCCAGTCGACAAACATCTACCGGAAATATTTTCGTTCAATTTACTTTGTAGGATGCTATCATTCCACTGCAAAATTCTGTGACTGTGTGCCTGGTAGATGTAGTCGATCATGTAGTTGTTTATCACGCATAACACTGGAATAGGCTTCCCAAAGCGAGCTATCATGTCTGAATATCGACAAGGATAGCTGTGACTCTTTAGAAAAATGCAAAGAGCTTCTTATCCGCTACGGATACTTCTTTGATGGCACTCCACTATCTCAGGAATCTTCAGCCAGATATGGCTTCGTTCTTGTAGGAGCGAAACTCTGAAAGGCTCTCGTCGTCTTCCAAATCATCGAAGTCAAAACCAGGATAAGAATTGTACGTAAGGTCAACATCATCGTACCCTTATCGTTTATCACACCATCATCGTGGATAATCAAAAGTTGATTTCGAACTTCTTTCAAAGACTTCATGAGCGGCGTTTTGTAATGGCTGCTTAACTGTTTAGAAATTCCCGCCACAGTGGCGTTCTCTCTCCAGTCTTTTTGCGGGTTTTGGAGTCCCCTCGCCGTCCCCGTTCTCCTTGCTTAAAGTCCCTAAAGCCAAGATCGGACCGTGCGGGATAGATCATGGACTGGACCCCGGATCGGATCACGGATTAAAACAAAACGTTTCGAAAAATTAAAGAAATCAAATCGTGTACAAAATAATGATACTAAAAAAATAAGAGTAAAAAAAATAATAAAATAGCTTAAATTTAAATAAAAAATGTTGACTGACAAGCCAAAATATAGTGTGCGTGACACAATAAAGGAGCGTAGGCCCCTCTTGATTTTTTGTGCCTCAAAACCCCATTTAGTCACTTTCACGAACTACATAAATCGCTTACGTGCACTTCAGCAGTCATATCTATCACAATCGTACACCTCATATCGCCTCTTTTCTCGCGCGTGGTAAATGATATTGAAATAAGGAAAAGTAGCACATGAGATGGCATTGAAAAAAACAAACAAACAAACAAACAAACAAAAAACAAACCAAAAAATAGCTGACTGATGAAATCATACGTGCCTCTCGCTTGCGTTTGTCTATGGTGGTACTACACAACAATCCTTGACAGAGCCTTTTGAAAGTGACTACATGGGGTTTTGGGGCGAAAAAACTTCCATTCTTGATCCGATCCGTGATCCAGTCCGTGATCCGATCCGGTCCGATCCAGATTTTGTCGTCTGAGTGTTTAGCTCAAGAGATAAAATTAGATTCTTTGCCAACAGTTAATAAATCATTTCGATATGAAATGATACGTCCGTGGCGTTAGACTGCGAGTTTTAGAGTAAGTCTAATTGGAAGTACAAATAAATAATACAAGCCTTTCTATTTGAGATCAGTAGAAGAATTCCTGAAGTGATTATTTGCTTAGTACGCGAAGGCTTTGGGTCTCTTGAAGAGAATAATCAGAAGTTTTTGAAAAGAAAGATGGTAGACAGATAAAATCGAAGTGTTAACCAGACTTGCTTATCAGTATTGTAAGACACGCACTCAAAATTGTACGCCATTTAACTTAGCAAGTTTACAATTATCCATAATCATAGTCAAACCTTACTTCTAAAAATTATTATATATGTTGAAAATATATTTTACGACAGTATTACAAAAGTTCCTTTCCTTCCTTCTCCGACTGGTTCTGTCATTTTGTTGTTATATGTCACGGCTTATTCTCGGAAATCAACCGGATGTGATTCCTCTCAGTTCTCCCTAGAAATGTATTAGACTTCAAGGCGGAAGTGATCCTGAGCTCCTAAGACACCTTTAACGAGCTGGTCCCAAGAAGTCAGGGCAAACCCTTAAAAGCTTTTCTCTAAGTAGGCGAATAAAAAAAAGGATATCAGACAAAAATCTTTATAATGTGTCGGTGATATTTTATGGCAGCTCTATTATAAACTTTCCATTTTTAACTCATTCAAAATTTGCCACGTTCTCATTGTCCTCTTATTATGTCACAGATCTTTCGCGGAAATCAACCGGATGTGGTTCCTCTCCATTGGATTGATTGGTTCATTATTTCAGATACGTGTCAAATTTGCATCAGTTATTATTTCCTCTGCTCGTTCGCTCGACTCTTTGTGGTTTAGACCTTGATTTCTTACCAACAGACTGAAGCTTCTAAAACTCAGGTGAGATATTTTTCATTGAAACGTAACGCACACGCTTGTCCTATCTAATTGAGCCAATATCAAAATCTATGTGGACGCACGGTTGTGCATGTATAGCATAACGTTTACATTTACAATTTGCTGCAAAGCTCTAGTCCAGTTTAAATTAAATGGTCAATATTGTCTTACACCAATTGAGACAGCCTCATTGGAGTTCAAATTTTCAAGTTCAAAATTAGAATTGCTATAGAAATCTGTTTCGAAAAACTAGAAAAAAGCTAGATTTGATCTCGACCGCTTTTAAGCTTGCCACGTGCTCTCCAACCTTGCCAAGTGCATCCATTCTTTGATATAGCCACGTTCAGCAAAAACAATTTCCTAGATAATTTAGCTGTTCACTTTGAATATTCATGTTCAGTTTTTAAGATGCAAAATTAATCAACAAAAGAACTGGTTCGAAAATTCTAATCAAAACAATGTTGATTTTAACGTATTTTGCTTGCTGTTTTATTGAAAAATTACCATACTTTGGTAGCAAAACATCGAACATTCGATGTTACGTTTGACAAAGGATTCCCCTGACTGCCTTCGTTAAGCCCACGACTAAAGATTTTGTAACATGATAAAAACTTAAGTCAGCAAAAGCTATTTTATCGACAAGATTAGAGAAACCCATCGATGAAAGGTTTTACTGTGTTCGCTCCCCCCCCCCCTCCCCCCAGGTGAAACGGAAGCAAGGGAGCGGAATTCCCTAGCTTCCGTTTCACCTTGCGGGGGAGGGTACGGCTACAATTAGGCTAAGAACCTCGCATATTGGGACTTTTCAGGACTATTTAAGATATATGTTGACAAAAATTGAGACTCAGGTTGAAGGAAAATAAGAAAGTATCCTCGCCATTCATTTAACAAAAA